AACTGTATATGGCATCAATTGTAGAAAAAAAAGAAAGATTGAAAGATTTCTACCTCACTTCAAGAATTGTTCATTCCAGGACGCGTGCTATGCTATAATGTTCTGCTCGCATGTTCTCCCTAGTTTTGACTACAGATTGAGAGCATCCTCAGACCATGCTGAAAAAAGGGTGTCAAAGCCTTCAGGGTTTCAAGTCCATATCAGGCATGGCAGATTGTACTGGGGGAGAACGATTTCATTCGGGAAAGTGGGAATCGTAGGAGATCGCACGTGACACGTCATTTCTTCATGCAATCGGCAGAATACCTTAGAAGGTCGAAATGCATGAATACGATTCCTGTGCCAACGATGCCACTTAGCTGATGGAAAGCCGTCGCGCCAAGAAGGGAGGCGAACTCCCATGTCAACATAAAAGTACCATCAGCGTTATTTATGATGTGTGTAAAAAATATTACTCATTGCGACCTAAGTAATCAGGTGTAGTACAATTGGCATTCATTTGTACACACCACATATCACATACATGGCGGCGTCACCAAAACTATTGATCATGATACGACTCATGGCGTTTCGACGTTCTTATGTACACATGCTTGATAAAACACCTGGTGCACCCCGCACGCCTGCGTGCTTGCATGCCACATGGACCACGTGTACACACCCGCTGCGCTCCTGGCAAGCGCCCCCGTTGCCATCTAGTGCGCATCCTCTGCACCTACAGTGGCGCATACACACTACACCAGAACTCCAATCGCTGCAACGCGCGCTCTCTACCACACTGCAAAGGAACTGAACCGCCCCTCATCAGCAACATTCATGCAACCTGGGTCCTACAATTCTGCCACCACATTGCATCATGCCCTGGACTCAAAGCTGGCCTTGGGTGATCCTTCACGTTCCAATGTCGTCGACCCCAATGCCGAGACCAGAGCGAGCTCGTTAATATATGCATGGGTGGGGTAATGTACGGCTAGAAGTCGGCATGGTAGTAAAGAAACAGTTGCCGGCAAGGCGTGAGCTATGCTTCGTTGGCAAATGACACTTTCTTTAAAAATATTACTCTACTATTTTGTTTCTTCCCATGCTGTAAGCTTTCTTTCTTATTTCTTTTTTTCTGCCATATTTAGGAAAAATTTCCACAAACCTCGCTAGCTTCACAAGACAGTTGAAAATGAACCATAAAATGATGAATAAAGCGCAACGCACACATACGCTTCTTGACACGCCTTAGTGTGCGCTCAGGAGGCTGCACATGTGTACACAACAGTAGCGCATAACAATGTACTGGGTATGCAAAGTTACTGCGGTCTGATGTCTGCCGCCACGCGTGTCTTTACAGACTCGCTTTGAGACCTGGACATACGCAAGTAGAATCTGGCTTTACCAGGTCGCCAGTCTTGCTCACACGTGATAGTCAATGCCGATATATTATTTATTTTTCGCATCTAGTTTGCAAAATTATGCTCGAGGCAAGTATGCTTGCTAATGCATGTATTGTAAAGAATGAGATTGAGACAACACATGTATGCTGGGCTCTCTGTTGTTTATCTGACTTCGTTCTTCTCCTTCTCTAGCAGAGTATGCGTCCGTGCCTAAGTATGTGCTATAAAATATCATCATCAAACCCTGGAAGAAGAAAAAAGAAGGCTGCTGCCTGGAGTGCTACTTCGCTTCTTCTAATAAACCGTATTCGTTAGAAGCAGCCCTCGGTCTCGATCGTCCCAATAATGGTGCCGTGAACCAGGATACTACATCCTCGCCGGCAAGAAAGGTCAACCTGCCATGGAGCAGCAGAGAAGAAAACGGCGGAGGAGCAGAGGATCGACCTGGATCCCACGGTGGACCGTACGAGCATCAGAACGAACGATTGACAAGTAAGGAGTCATTGTTAACCGCCTCAATATGAGCAAGGAAGTGATAACGAAGAAAAGAAAAGCGCTTCGCTCCCAGATCACGCGAGTGATTAACGCAGCTGAACAGCAAATTAATGGTGTAGCTAACCGGGAGCAGCTGTTTACAACACAGGCGCAGATTAGGGGAATAAGCGACAGTCTCAAGAGCGCGAACGAGCAAATAGAAAAGTTTCTGACACAAGACAATGCCGAAGCTGAATTTGAAAGGGTCATAGAGTACGACATGAAAATAATGACGACCTTATCTGCAATAAAATTCAGGCTTCGACAGCCTGCACAATCGGATTCCAGCGATAGGACAAGGCAGGTGACACCCTTAAGTACAGGACAAGAAGCAACGGAACTAGTTAAGTTACCAAAGCTTGAAATGATAAAGCTTGGGGGAAAAGCTTTGGAGTGGAACCGCTTTGGGCTCAGTACGAGTCGGCAGTTCACCTGAGTCCGAACATGAGCAAGGGACAGAAGTTCAATTACTTGTTAGCATCACTAACCAGAAAAGCGGCAGCTGCTATTGAAGGACTTCAGTACTCGGTCAAGGAAAATTATGATGACGCAATCAAAATACTGCAAAAAATGTTCGGCAATTGCGAACATTCCATTGAAATGCACATAAATGAGCTATTGAGTTTGGAGAAAGTGAGGTCTGTTCAAGATACCGATGACTTAAATAGGCTAGTACAGAGAGTGCAAGTCAACATATTGGCACTCATGTCCCTAAAAGTGGAAACCGAGAGCTATGTGCGGATGTTGCTACCGGTATCGAAAAGAGCAATTCCACCAGAATTATCAGTACAGTTCAAGTCAAAAGAGGCTACCAGAAACAGCTCAGATTCAGAAAACGGCGAGAAAAGCAACCCAACAGGAAAAGCGTGCGAGGAAAAGCTGGACAGGCTTATGTTGTTCTTAAGAGAGCAAGCAGCTTTTCGTGAAGACACACAACGTGAACAAGAGAGAATAACTGCAAAACCAAGAGAGAACGGCCGACAGATACGCACAACTTCAAGCTTCTATAGCTCAGCGCACAGAATATGTTTATTTTGCAAGCAGAAAACCCACGCAACCGAAAACTGTCGTCAGAGCATTCCAATGGATGAAAAGAAAGCTATGCTTACCGAAAATAGAGCATGCTTCAGATGCACGAGACCAAACCACACTGCACGCATTTGCAAAGCCCAAGTAAAATGCAAGCAATGCAAGTGACGACATGCCACGTCAGTGTGTAGAACTGTGATGCAGAAAACAAGGGCAGAGCTGGTCTCAACAGCGCAAGCTGAAGCGAAGACGTCTACGCTACACGCGACCGAAAATATCAAGGATAATTTTGTGCTTTTGCAGACGGCTGTAGCGTGCGTAGAAGGAGAAATATGTGGCTGACATTGTCGTTTGTTATTAGACAGCAGAAGTCAACGTTCATTTATTGAAGCAGGATTAGCGAAAGAAATAGGTGTGAAGGTGTTGCGACAGGAAAGGCTGACGATTGGTTCATTTGGAGGAGACGAAAAGGTCAAACTAATGAACGTGGTGCAAGTGACTGTAGGATCACGAGAAAAAAGCACGACAACAGTGATTGAAGCGTTACAAGTCAACGTTATCTCGCACACTTGTATACCCACTCCAACTCAAAAACTCTGTGAAAAAATGCAAGTGGCTGATCATAGGACAAGACGACTGCAACAGATTCTGTAGAACTACTGATCGGCTCAGACTATTATTGGGAATTCTTTACAGGTAGAACTCGAAGAATCGAGGACAGACTGATGGCTGTAGAAACTATACTAGGATGGGTACTGCAAGGGCCGTCAGAGCAAAGCAAGACAAAACTAAGACATAATAAAGCAGTAATGGTTCTGAAGGTTGAAGCTACGGAGACAGAACTCCAGCAAGAGCTACAGAAGTTCTGGAGCCTGGAGTCAATGGGGATCACAAGAAATAGTTTGGAAAACAATAGCCGAGTGCGCGCCATGGTGGGGAGGATTTGACGACCACCTCATAAGAAGCCTGAAGATGTAGATGCAAAAGATAATATCGGAAAGTACAGCTTCGGTAGAGGAGCTACGAACTATTGTAGCAGAAGTTGAAGGAACACTTAACAATCGACCATTGACTTACGTATATGGAGAACCTGACGAGCCAATGCCACTAACGCCGGCAGACATCATAGGCGGACGGCGACAGCTTCAAGACGGACAAACAAGACTGTACAACGGTGACATTGAAGACGATGGCGAAGCAGATGCAAACTCGTGCGCACTTAGTGGAAAAGATGGCATCGAGAATACATCAAGGAAATAGGAGCTACGGTCAAAGCCAAGACGCGGCAAGCAAAATCATTCTCACAGGGTGACATCGTGTTGGTTGAGGACAAGGCTCCAAGAGCACTTTGGAAAATGTGCCGGATTGAAAAACTTTACCCTGGGCAAGGTGGAATAACAGGAGTTTGTCTCCTTCGCACAGGCAAAAAAGAACTAGGAAGATCGGTGAACCACATATATCCGATGGAGGGTTGTTTCAATTAGCCCGCGAGAGCTTATCCCATTTCAACTTGGGCGGGCGGGAGCCTATAAAATATCATCATCAAACGAAGGAAGAAGAAGAAAGCAGACTGCTGCCTGGAGCGAGCGCATTCTATTTCGCTTCTTCTAATAAACCGTATTCGTTAGAAGCAGCCCCTGGTCTCGATCGTCTTAATATGTGCCCGTGCCCGAGCACCGTACGTGCCAAGCACCGCACGTGCCTGAGCACCACTTGTGCCAGAGCTCCACAAGTTTTGCCGGCCTATGTCCGGGACTAGCCCATGCACCATTCATCACAATATATCATCAATTTCCATGCCCTACTCTTTCCTATGAAGAGTCAAAAATACACAAGAAAGATGGGAATGAGGCTGGATTCAACGCCGCTGGCATGGTGCTCTATGCAGGGAGCTTCTCCAGAATCCAACATTTTTCGTAACCGCGTAACCATTGCTGCTGGCAGCAATGATTACACTGTGACAAAACAAAATTAAAGCTGGACATTTAGACAGACTTGCCAGACTGGTTGGGTAAATAATTAAGACTTTCAATACAGAACAAACTACACTCACAAGACATTTGCATGGTAATTTTTATTAAAATAAGATCATCTCAAAAGTAGAGAGAAATAGAGAGAAAAAAAACAACAAGGATGTAACCGCAGGCAGAATGCACGTGACAAAGACACACTTTGGATGTTTCCAAAAAATGACACACACGACAAGCTCGAGTCACAAACACAGTTTTAAACTGTGTCCGCTCTGTGCATAAAACAGAAACTCGTGAGCAACACACAGTTCCCTCCTAAACACAGTCGAAAGTTTTCTTTAAAGGTGCACGTCACATTTACGTACACAAAGCAGCGCACGTAGAACGGGACGGGGCCCATGGATCAACCACGGACGCCTATGTCGCGATCGGATGGTCTGCGGAATGTATCCGTAAATGTGACACGGACCTACCCATAACACGTTATGTACACATTCGAAAAATAAAATTACAGAAAGCAACGAAGTAGTGCTTGTTGTTGCAAAAAACGTCGTCACGGGAGAAAAATGGTCTCACAACAAGTGAAGCAACGATTCCGGTGACTCAAACAACACCGGTGGAATGTAGCGAGTGAGTTGTTTTGAAGGCATGCGTGAAGAAAACAGCTGTCATCATCTGTCCTTTAAACTATAGCGCATATATATTTATATGTGACATGTTTGTAAAAATAAATATCGAAACAACGCACACGTTTACACTGGTCCTTTGCTAAGACTCAATCGATAGGCCATTGGGGTGTGAATGTGTTTTTCGAGGCTTGTTTGTGAACGTAAATTCACAAAACAAGCGAGCATTATTGGGTGGAACGGGAAGGAAAAAAAAAATATTGAGGAGATTTTGAATAGCAGCCTACAACAATACGATGGCATTTGGCGGCAAGCTCGCAACACGACGCCTGACTCGACAGAAAACACGGTATGAAACAGCAAACAATTATAGTATAGAGCAAGCATTAGACCAACAAGCTTGACAGTGGGTATTTACAGACTCTTCAACGTAGCGTAAATGGAGCCTTTCCAAACAGTTATATATATATATATATATATGTATATATATATAATATGTAATATAAAATGTATCTGTTAACAGCAACTTAAATGCAGTCGCGTCTGATATGTCATTCGTGAGAGAGAGAGGGGGGAGACGCGTGCATTGTGTGAGTGTGCACGTGCGCAGTATCCGGAACACTTGCATTCTTTAGATGTACACCGGTGTTGTTGCATTTTTTTTTAGCAGACAGTTCTTGCCTCTATGTACACTGGCGGCAGCTTTGGCATTTTCAGGGTCTTAGCCAAGTCGAGGAACTGCCGACCGTGATTTTCCTCGCTGCAGACAGTCGCTGCAGTCCGGCGTCAGTCCGGCGTCGGTACGGCGGTGACTCTTCGACTGACCGGAGAACCCTGTGCCGGGGTACTGTTGCAAGGAAATGCGCGTCTCCTGTGCAGCACTTCACTCACGGTTCTGGCAGTAGGCTGTTTTGTCTGGAAACTAGCTGTAATGAGCTGGATGCGCGTTATCGAAACTTAATGATGTGTGCAGTTCGCTTCTCATCTATTTGTAAGCGGATCTGCTCAGGTTTCAGCGCTTGGATTGCATCGATGGCCTCAGCAGCAACGATCCGTCGATCCACAGGTTTGGCCTCTCGAGCATGGAACGCCAGAGCGTCACCTCTTCGCCGTGGGAGTCCATCCAGTCCACGTCCCGTCCGTACAGCTTTCCTGTGAGAGACGGAGCGGGATCTCGTATCAAAGTTGTGGCAAACATTGGCTCTCAGACATTTCTGTGGAAGAATTTCCATGTGAACGTAAAATGCTTTAGGGCGGAGCACTCAAAGGGACCCTGAAACACTTTCCTGAGACACCACTAAATGGCTTTATTAAGTGGTTATTGCCTCACAAATCAATTGTCGCAAAAAATCTCAAAGTTCGTAACGTACGAGCAGCGCTAGAGAGATCTGTTGCACGTTGTAATTGCTTTCTTTCTTCTCTCACCCCGACGCGCGTGCTGAAAGCTAAGCAGAGAAATCAATACTGCTGTTCAAGACTGTTTGCTGACTACAAAGCAAAGTTTTCTAAAAAGCATCAGTACAATATATAAGCGTTTCCCACAGAGAACTACAATGTGCGCTGCATTCCTGCCAGCAGTGCACCTGTGTGACAAAGGACAAGCCGAAAATAAATAGACACCTTCATAAACACAAAGGTGAGTGCACCTTCCAGCGTCACTTGTGCCCAGTTGTATTCAGTCAGAATTAAAACTGTGCAGGACAGAGAAATAAAACACAGCAGATAAACCTTTTTACATTTTGTATTTCAGGAAAACATAACGCCGCTGGATTTTCATTTTAGGTGTGAAATACAATAGAGGAATGCTGATAGTGACTAAACAAGAGAAAAGTGATAATAAAGCATTCTGTTACCTGATTTTCTGGCGAACACAAAAAAAAGAATGAAGAAGGAAAGCACGCCCGCCGGACGATTTCAAATTTTCATGAGAATCTTGCCCATGCATCGGGGGCAACCTACCATTAGTTGCTCACATAAACATAACCATCCCTGCCCATGAAAAAAAGAACAGGCCTGCGTGAAACATTCAGCACAGTCGCAGCAATAGCTGACAGAGCAGCTGTTGTAAATTCTCTCGGGGCGACACTGCCCAGTACAGTTGCAATGTACCCACAACGACATAAATCATCATAACTTTGCTAAGTCGAGAGGCACCCACTATATAATTACTCGTCATTCTGTGTAGAAGTGAAGTAGCCGCTATGCATCTTTCGGGCACCATTCTTGATGCTGTGGCTGATGATGAAGACATATGCCTGAGCCCTTTGTAATTAGAGGGAAGCTTTAAACTACCACTGTACGTGCAATTCGTATGATCTTATTTCACTCTTTACCACGCTATACATCGGTTTATTTCTGGCCCGGCGAGATGCCTGCAGAGGGTCTTTCAAAGAGGTTTCAAGCGCCAGCACAGCTCAATGGTAGAATACCCGAATGCCATGCAGAGATCAAAATTCAGGTCCCGGTCGATTCTGAATATTTTTACTCCTATGGTGCGCAGTAGCAGGTAACAGACATTAGGTGGCAGACATCTACGCCCCGAAATTGGCCTTTGTTGTGATCTCGTAACAGCTTTCGCAGTAAAGGTAGAAAAGATCCCGTCATTTCCACAAAGTGAATGATGACCATGAAGCTGGCTTGCAACTGATTGGGAGAACCTGTGAATCCTGCATACAAGTCCTCCACCATCATATAAAGATGTGACACGTTGTTATAGTAGTGATTGCATATACGCTTATGTATAAACAAGACGTGATCATTAACTAATCGATGCAATTATGCACAAGGATTACATTACTGACTACGAAGTTGTGGGATGCATTTTCGTTCGAAGATTACAATTCTGTGGAGAGTGAAGTACGGTAAAACTTCGTTCATTTGAAGTCACTGGGGCCGCGAGAAAGCTTCGAATCAAGCGGGTTTTCGAATTAACAGAACATACAAACAAATGCAAGGAACTTGAACTATTCAAAGTAATCGGTGTTCGTCGTTTGCTGTGCCGGCAAGCTTGCGGCTCCAAAGGTTATGTTTTCCAGCAATACCTGGTCTTCATTTTGCCGCGAACATGGATGAACGGTGGGCCTCTGCTGCCACCAAAAAAGAAAAAAGAAAACACCGTCGTGATCGACTGAAATGTGCACCTGCAGAAAACAAGACTTCTTCACTGCAACACAGTAATGACACGCGGGCAGCATGTCGCCTGCTCCTCGCTGCGTCAGCACGTCATGATGCGACCATCTTTCTATTACAACTATGAATTTAATATATGCCAGTACGACAAAGCTCACGATGTGTTTTGGCTGGAAAAAGTTATCTTTGAAACTTTCGAACTTAGCTTTCGAATTCTGTGTTGCTGGCAAGAACTCCCCCAGCGGTGCAAAGACGCGAATTGCTGGAGCAATCGGAGGTTCGCATACATCGCGATTTACCCTAAACTGTTTGTTATTAATTTCTTTACAATCCCAGTCAGAATGGGTAAACCATGACCCGATGACGTTGCGAAAAACATGCAATAAGCTGCCCGCGTGTCACCGCTGTGTTGCAATAAAGCACGGCTCGTTTTCCACAAGTGCACGTTTCGGTTGACCACGAGACCGTTTTTTTCTTTTCTTTTTTTTGTGCTGGAAATAGCGAGGCTGGGGTGCTTCAGTTGCCACTCGTTAGCATCGATACATTGCATTGCCTTGTGACTATTAATAGCCGTCATTCCACAGATTCGCGGCGAAATTGGGATCGAACTGGCACATGGCACCCAAAGTTTTCAAATTAACCGGACTGGTGCCGGCCGCCGTTTCAAATTATCCACTCAAACTTAGATTTCAAAATACGGGACCGTGGAATTCCTTCGAATTAGGCGAGATTTCGAAATAACCGAGTTCGAATTAACGAGGTTTTACTGCATGTGGCAGGAGGATCTTGAATTCTGAAAGCTAAAGAAGGCAATGTCGATACAGGTCTCGAGTCTAGGTTCTTCTGCCAGTGCTGGCGTGCTGCCGCTGCTTCGCGGGCTCTAACTTTGCAGTCCGCCTGTCGATGAGCCTTCTTCGCAGTGCACATAATGCCTTACAGATGTGTACTGGGTACCTCGCTTATCGGCAGAATGACAAATGGCATAGTGGCACAACAGGTGCTTACCTATACTCAACGAAAGTTATGGTGGGGGTGCAGTGGGTACATGGCACAGCTGCTCCTCTAGCGTATACGCCAAGGGACATGCCCTGAGCATAAGAGGCTTGGCGAGCGAGCTCCTAAAACAACGTACCTGTGCCAAGGCCAAGCCGTACACCGCCCAGGAAGTCATTGCTGGTGATCTTGTCGTAGTCCCAGATGGTGAGCTCGAGGCAGCGGTCCTTCAGTTCATCCAAGGACACATCCGGGTACACGAAGGTGTGGTTCCACTTGGGGTTGCAGCTCTTCTTCACCACGGGCGTCTTCTGCTTGCTCCCTTTGGTCCGGTCGGGAAGCAGGTAGCTAGGCAAAGCAAAAAATAAAGCACACTCACTTAGAAACAAACGCAGGTATTAACCACGGTGCCAGCACTACACTTTTTACCTCATCGTCGTTTTACTTCTTCGTTTCTTGCTCGACAGCTCTCAACTTTCGCTGAACAATGAAAATTGATTAATTTTTCAAGAAGAGTATGAAATTTCTGCGCAGAAGGCCAGAACTGAAACGTATACAGTGGAATCTCGATGATACGATCACGGCTAATACGAATTTCCGGATGATACGAATTTTTTTGTGGTCCCTGCCGAGCCCCATTACTTTGCGATGCGCTAGAGTATGTTTGTTACGAATCGATTTTCTGCCCGCGTCGTTTGATACGAATGAACGTCGCCCCACTGACGGCCGCGAAATGGAACAGCGCTCAGCCGCGCGCCGGAATGCGCGCTGCACCGCCGGTTTGGCATTTTGCCAACGGTGCCTGCCAGCAGAGCGTGGCGGCCTCCAGCATCGGCGCGCGTCGTGCGCAATATCGGAGACCTCAGAGACCGCTTGCGCCCTTTGATTTCGGTTTAGGTTTAGAGGTGGCGCTGGCCACGGTTTCCTTTCTTTCTCTCTTTTTGGGTGCGGCGGCGAGGACGCGACGACGCGGCGGACTGCGCGGGTCAAGTGGGGCGGTGACGCTTTTGTTGCTGTTGTGCTTTTCCTCTTTCTCTGCGTGGCGTTGGACGGAGTGGCTGCAGTGCTGTGCTTCGGGCGGCGTTCTTTGTGTTTGTGACATTTTGCCTAGTCGCAACGAGCTATGTCTCGCAAGCGAAAAGCGCTCTCCTTTAAGGAGAAATTAGACGTCCTTCGAAAGGTCGATGAGGATCCTAAGAGAAAGCGGACGGAGTTGGCTAAGGAGCTAGGCCTTGCAACGTCAACACTGAGCACAGTTGTTGGACAGCGAGAGACCATAATGAAAAACGTGCTTTCGTTCAACCTCAACACAAAGCAAGCGAAGACCGCTCAGCACGTGAAACTTGACGAGACTCTCCTGACTTGGTTTAAAGAGGTAACCGCAGCTGGCGTGAATATCGATGGCAAAGTTTTGCGGAAGAAAGCCGACGAGTTTGCACTTGCTCTGCATATCGACGGATTTCAGGCCTAAGGTGGGTGGCTGCAGCGCTTTAAGACTAGGCACGCTCTCGTTTACAAAAGCGTCTGCGGCGAAGCGAAAAAAGCTGACGAGGCAGTTGTCAGCGACTGGTTAGAGAAGCTGCCGTCACTCATTGCAGAGTATGAGCCTCATGATGTTTTTAATGCTGGTGAGGCAGGTCTCTTTTTTAACCTGCAACCCGAAAAGAGCCTCTGTTTAACAGGCGAAGCATGCAGAGGAGGCAAAAAAAGCAAAGAGCGTTTTACTGTGCTCTTGTGCTGTAACGCCGACGGATCGGAAAAGCTTAACCTGACCGTAGTCGGAAAGTTCCAAAAGCCCCGGTGCTTCAAGCGCGAGAGTCGTTTGCCGTGCGTCTATCGCGCAAACAAAAAGGCGTGGATGACGGCGGCGTTGTTTGAAGAGTTTTTGTCACTCCTGGACAGGAGGATGGCTTGTAAGAATCGGAAGATTCTTCTTTTTCTTGACCAGTGCACCGCCCACTCGAGGCAAGTAAATAAATGCTTTTTACGTACTTGTGCCTGGATGAGTTCACGTCTGACTCTTTGTTAATTTAGCTAGTTTTATTTGTTTCGATGATACGAATTTCGGCTAATACGAATATTTTTCGTGACCCCGTGAGATTCGTATCATCGAGATTCCACTGTATAGCCTGACGAGGTCTTGACCTCCCAGGCCGACGCCCAATCCTAATACGGCATGCATCGGTCGACATGGCATTTTCACACATTTTATCAGGTACACTGTATTTGCTTGGTTTTACATTTTATATGTGCATCTTTTTTCATTTTTTTATAGGTATGCATCCAAAATTATCGATACACAAAAAACATGTTTATTTCTACAAACATACACATACGAAAAAACTTTGACACATATTACACAGTAAAAAAAACATTACCACAACTGGAAAATTCTGTTTCAGTATATCAGTTAAACAGCAAGAGAAGAAAATAAAATGAAATGTAACTAAGTATAGAAGTAGTGCTTTAATTACAAATGTATCGCTCTACACACACGCCATCGTCTTCAAATTTTCTAGCGTTGGCAATGTCAGTGAAAGTTGCAGGATACAGTAAGAAATTCCAGGAGACCACCACAGAGAGAAAAAATAGGATGAGATTTTAGTTACAAAAAGATTGGAGAATTTGCTAGCACTGGTCTGTTTTGTTCTTTGGTTTAAAAACAAGCAGTTGCAATCAATAACGAAAATTCAAAACCAAATCTAAGGCAAATGCTTATTTTGTTTTTTGCACTCACATCAACCCACTTGAGCATGAATCAGAGTTTAAGAAGGACTTTTGTAGTGTTTTTACAGCGCCCATAAATACAGATTTTGATGTTTGTGCCCAAAAGCCTAGAGATGCCAATAAACACCTATATTCAAAATCGCCACCTTTATATGAAGGGTGTAGTCTGAGATAGTTAATACATACACTCAAACCTCGATATAACGAACCCAGGTATAACAAAATATCAGTTATAACGAAGTAAATGAAGAATAGTCTTGCAGTAGCTGTAGTGTAAGGCATATAGCTTTATAGCGAATTTTCAGATATAAAATTGACCAATACAAGCAAAACAAGCCTTCAAACGCTACAGAGTGTTCAGTCTCAGGCACTGCGGATTCGCCTCGGCTTGCCTCGTAGTGCGTCGACAATGGCTACTATAGCAATCGCCGGTGACCACCTCACCACGACACATATCAACGTTGAGGCACTCAGGACACATATAAGGCATATTGCTCGGACACCCTGCCACCACCTAGCCTCTTTACCAGCAGACAGACCACGTTCATCATTTTGCCAAACGGTCACCACATATCGCAATTATTTGCCAACATGCTTCACACCCGCCGCCAGGCCTTTGACTCCTCCCTGGTGCCTGACTCAGGCTAACATCAGGCTAACTATACCTGGCATCCAGAAAAAAGCAGATATCTCATCACCTGCTCTCAGGCAGCTTGCTCTGCTCTTGTTATACGAGACGTATCAAGGCTGTATACACGTATACACAGACGGCTCTGTTTTACAGAAGAGTTCAACGGCATCATTTGTTATACCGATAAAAGACACGACAAGAAAATTCAAGACCTCCCACTTTACATCAACGGGAGCAGAGCTCACAGCTCTTCGTGCCGCATTGCTATGCATCAACGACCAACAGCCACAAAAATGGACAATTTTCAGTGACTCAAAGGCGGCACTGCAATCCCTTCTATCACCTTTACGCCACAGCCCGTACGAACAGATGGTATTCAAGATTGCAGAAAAGACTCAACATTTCACTGAGAAAGGACATGAAATAGCCATTCAATGGCTTCCAAGTCATTGTGGAATAATTGGCGATGAATGGGCCGATCGAGCTGTCCGTTCTGCCCATACTGAAAAGCGATCAAATATCAATTCCGCTTTCCAGAACTGACGCTGCACGGGAACTCCACATGCTTGCTCGCAAGCACACCACGTCACAATGGAACGAGCCACAATTCATCCATGCACGGTTATGTACCTTAGAATCAACTCTCAGTCTTCGAATTCCTCCGGAATTACGCCGACGAGACGCTACTATGCTGTGCAGATTATGGTTGGGCGTCGCATTTACCAATGCATATGCGCTCCGCATAGCAATGGCTGACACTGCTGCATGCGACCATTGTGGCAGTGACGAAACAACTTGGCACATTCTGTGTGAATGCCCACAATACAGCTCGAAGAGACAGTCACTCTGCAATGCACTAGATGAACTGTACACACAGCCTCTTTCGGAAGAAAGAATCCTGCGCTTATTGCGTTCAACCTGCTTGTCCAAATGACTGTGATCAGAACTCCCTGAATGTGTGCGCATGTGATTTTTTTTTTCTCTAACTTATTTTATATCTGTCTATCTCTATCCTCTTTCCGACCCTTTTCCCCATCCCCGTACAAGGTAGCAAACCAGTTCTCCAAGGTAAACCTCCCTGTCTCTTCCTTTTATTTTTTCTCTCTTCTCTCGTTTCAGATATAACAAAGTTGTTTTCACGCAAGATGCTACTTTGTTATAATGAGGTTTAAGTGTATTACCAGGCAAGACTGATTGTTTGGAGCTCTGTCGGTCCAGCCTAGTCTCTATTTCAACCAGCTTCCAGAAAACGACCACCAGCGACACTGAAGTGGAACACGCTGGGCGGCATACGTTGCCATAATGACAGGGCGTGAGTGGTTGGTAAATGCTAGAACAAAGAGAGCGCCAGGGGAAAGCATATTGAAGATCAAAAGAAGAAAAATTTAATGGTTATGAGGCTTTTGTTTTGTTTGTAATTTACATTTTTAAAGTGCTCACTGCCAGGAAAGAACTCTGCTCAACATGATTCAACCTGGCCAATACAAGGCCCTCCTGTATTCTCGTCCTAGTCGTAGGGCTATCTGCTACTGCTCTGCCCTTCTCAGTCATACGGATAAAAAAGACGCTCAGTTTGTTGAATATACGATGGACACTTGACTCACTAATACTATGCTACAAAATAAATGCAAAATAAATGGATAGGCCTTATTCTGCGAGCCATATGGAACAAAGGCCACATTCACACCTATGGTCCACAGTTGGCCCCTTTGTCATCAAAGAACCATAACATTCCTTGTTTGTTTATCGAAGATACAAGCTACACACATGTCTGATTGAGGTTATTCACATTTATGCAAAATTTATTGTGCCTATATTAACAATGCTGGAGGCCAAAAATGTCATTTTTCCAGCCCATTTTTCTAAACAGAAATGTGCTTTTTTAATGCCTGGATATCCAGCCTTAAACTAATAATAAGAAATGGCAATGATGAAAATGATGAAGAGCAGCAAAAGGAAATATGCATGCAAGTTTGTGATATTGTGAAACAAACGCCATGCACACACTGAAGCATTTCATACGAAAAGTTGGGGCTGCTATCAGAATCTTGATAGAGGTATATTTATTTGTGTTGAGGCCAGAGACCTAGCGCAGGAAGTTTTTTTTGTTGCGATAGGAATTATATGGACACTCTACGGGTTCTTGCCATCGCTGCCATGTTCCACGTAAACTCACAAGTTTATAAATCCCCCGCACATCGTATGTTCTACACGCGGCTAAAATCGCACGAGCGGGAGAGACAAGCACTGCTCAAGAAAAGATTAAACAAAGTGGCTGATTTCTGCCACTCCAAGGGCACACACGATAGCATCCCGCCGCGTGTTAGACCCACTGTTTTCTTTCTGCTTAAGCAGAAAGAAAACCAGCACCTGTCTTGAATGAGCATGAAAAGATGCGCGGGGGGGGGGGGGGGGTCCGCTTGAGCAGCGGCTGTGAATTTTGATTCTAATGGCACAGTCGCAATCGCTGGCGTGTGCGCTATCTCGGTGAACGGTAGTGCACGGCTTGTACACTCTTCTATGTGGTGTGCTCTCAACGTGAAAACATTGTGCGAAAACAGCATTCCTTGCTAAAGTGACCACACTTTTTCTCTTACACCAGCATTTTGTAAAATTATGCGATTTCGTATCCAGAAGAGTTGGCTGTCACCCTTACTTCATATTTTAATGGGATTGAGACATGGACGAAGGCAGCAGTCGCCGTTTTTATGACCCAACTTATTATTTGGGTGAACCTGTGTTTGAAGAACAGAACATACTAATACCAGCTAACATAGAGCGTCTGCCGTCGATAATCGATAATCTGCCTAGCGTTGAAGCCTGTCGACGTGCCATCAAAGATTCCAGCGTTATTGCTAGCAGCCGTGTAGGTTCCAGAACAAACTCTAATATAGGCGTTGTGCATGTAGTCTCAACGGTAGACTATTTAGATGGTTCCCAGTCATTCGTGCGTGGTTTCCGAAAGGCAGCGTTAAACATATAATTGGGTGGTAACAAACAGAAAGAAAGGAGTGGGTGCGACATTACCAGAACAATATTACAATTTATTGTATTGCATTCATCGCTTTGCCAAGGAAACTAATTTTTTTTCTTTTCAGTTTTTATGATTCCACAGTCGCCGTCGAAGAGCGCGTGCTGCGCTTATTGGCGGTTGCTCAGAAACCATGCGACGAGTTTTTTGAAGCACCTCTGCCGTCCAAAGCTGTGAAAAGATAAACTCACACAATGATGTCTGCACACAAACACCACCTTCACAAGGTTCGCGCATTTTGTTCACGTGGTGCATGATTCATGCATGGTATTAAGTTGGCCATGCATTAACTGATATACGATGTGACTGAACTACACGGGATATGGTTACGGCTACGTCATTTGTGTATCCAACACGTTTCGCTCGATCAATGACAAGACTCGGCTAAATTTGGCATTGAAAGCGCAAATTGCCGTTTAGGTGCAGCAGGTCAGATTGGCGCAGAATGGCGCAGCACTTCCACCCTTTCTTTTGGCTGAAAAGACTTTACTTCTGCAATTCATAAACGTACTTCAAAATGGTCTCGCATCACTTCTTCAAGGAATCACTGAATGACCTCAGTACTGTAGTTTATTGCTTCACAAAGCGATCACAGCAAAAATTTTTTGAATATATCAAGAACAAGCAAAGTTGGTGGAATTCGTAGCAGATTTTACCACTTAATCTCTTTCTTAAATCTCTTGCTCTTTCCCAGAGTGATTTCAGAGTGCAGTAGCATTGCTACTGTGTAATTTTAGCACATTAAAGAGTGCAGCTTGGCATTTAACCTGTGGCAAGAAGCCCATCTGGTCCAAATGCCACCCTTGGTGTATTTCAGCTATCAGTGAAAAACAGCAATCTGCTGTATGACGCCATACAGCAGATGCCAGCAACTCCGATGAGAGAGAAGACGTGGCCTCTGTATTCAGAGAGGGCGCTTCACGCTTCACTTGTAAACTCTTCTTGGCCGTGAACGACAGCCTGTTTTGGCTGAAGTGTTCATAGTAGACGTCGCTTTCAAGACCTCAGCACAGCAGAACACCAAGCATGAAGGGCGGTTCAGGACTCTTTTAAATACAATGCCACAAGTTCACTGGTTCATTTGAATAACACAACACCTGACATGAACATGCCCAAGTCACTCACTACATTTTCATCAGCGCATTGGCGAGAGGTGCCAATGATTTTTCGAGTACACTCAAACATCTATATAACAAGCCTGGATATAACAGAATATTGGTTATTACGAAGTAAATGAAAAATAATCTCTCAATAGATGCAATATACCTTTGTAACAAATTTTCGGACATAAGGAAACCATTTTCGTGTATGATGCAACTTTGTTATAATGAAGTTCGAATGTATAACAAACAGAGCCTGTCATGGAACGTAAACTACCGCAGGCAAACTGACCTTTTGCAAAAGGGGTCGGAGGTTCCGTTGGAGCGTGTGGCCGTGAGATTGCGTGCCTCCTTGACCAGCACTTGCAGGGAGCCTCGCACGGGTCCCTGCTTGATGCTGCGGCTAGTCACGTCCGGCGGCATGTACTTCAGCGCCAGCAGAATGTCCCCTTTGTAGCTCAGTGGAACCTCGGGGCACTCAAACTGAAACACAGGAAGGACTCCTTGAATGACCTTTGAACACTGCAAGATATACAAGTTACAAACCGTATACACGGATGCTAAAGAAAGAAATAATGGAGCTATGTTAGTTACACTTCAATAAGAACTAAAAACTGCCCAGTAAACAGCGACAGACAGGTGGAGACACTGCCTTGGAAAGTTCCTACATTAATCTGCAATTCTGTTCTCAAAACTGGCAAAATTGATTTGGCCCAATCAAGCATGATTATAAAATTCTAAGCGGGACAGAGAACTGGAACAATAAGATAGAAGGAATACATAATTGTGGACGAACAGACATATTCCCTGATTAGATAAAAGCAATGAATAACGCCATATTATATTCTAATATCTAATATTCTAACATTTTAATAGCCAGAAATGAGGTCATTGTGGCTTGTAATGTGTGGTTAGAAATGGTCATTTGTTAGACATGAATAATTTTTTTGCAAAGTTGCATCTGTCTGGTAGCATAACCACAGGAAAACCACGCTTCTTACTATCACGTTTCCCATTAACCAAGTACTTGCATCAAATTTGGCTGAATTACCCTATGGTCGAACTGGAAACTATATTCGAGAGGAGTCATAGAATGAACTCAGCAAAATGTGAGGATTTTTGCTGCACCAGAATGATTCAAGAGAAAGTACACTGATATACCAGACATCACACTGATGCACTGGTGTTGATAATTATTCATTCATATCATTATTTTTTCTTGAAAAACATTTATCTTCACTTTTTGTTTGTCTTTAATCAAGCTCTCAATACGAAATCAATAAATCTAGTTTTGAGAGAATATTCTGTCCGTCTAAACTAATCTAGCATTTGTCTTGTGCCTTGCTTGCTGCCAAGCGTAAGAGAAATGAAAGAAGGCAGGGATGCACACCAGAAGAGCATCTATAGTTGTTTGGCCTGCATGAGAAGGCCAGCATAACACTCATAGCAACAGGCAACAGTCCATGTGAATTAAACCGCTTCATTGAGAATGTGCATACAGTCACGACCAGATATTTCATAGTGTTTTCGTTAGGTACACAAGTATTCAGGTACATTTTAGGATGCTGGGGCTAGAGAAAGAGCCCGGCTAGCTGGTATCAGCGCTCGACGATTAGCTCCTTTTGTGTAATAGTTACAACCACACAAGTGTTTTAACTGACTATGCAGCTACATCGACCGTTTCAGGAAGTGCTGTGGTTATACCAACACAAACACAAAAGACACTCATAGGTTCGACGACTCCAAATGTCACTTCGGACATTATGCTAAATGCCGGGCAGAGTAGGGTGAGGCAGGTAAGGACATAACTATAACATGCTATTCAAAAGAGTTCGGAGGAAAAGGGAAGCCTCAAGCAATAAGGATTGTCAAAAAAGGAATGTCATAGAAGCCAACAACTCAACAAGGGTACTTGTCTTTGTCAGGGGTACAACTGCTTTCCTAGGCAGAATTTTTTTGTGTGAGTCCATAAATTGTGTTGTTTGATGACTTCTTATCAAATGCTGATAGAGATGCTGCTTAACACGTGCAACTAGCAACGCAGAAAAATGTGCAAACTGAATGTTGCATAAGTTACTCTAGCAAGCCAAAGAACAATGACCTACGGACTGACAAAGAGATGCATTGTGCGGCATCAGATGTATGTGGCTTGTTCACTCATCCATGTAATCATAACGAAGAAGGAAACTTCAATGGCTTATTTTTCTTCATTAAACATAAGCCAATTAGACAAAGCCAGCAGATTATAAAGCCAAGGAAAGTACACAGGATCTTATATGTAGGGTTTTAACTGTCTGCAATTACGATATAAACGTTAAGAAATTAACATCGACAATAAGGCAACTTGCCAACTTTCCACTAGCAGGGACGAAACTTGCAAGCTGTGGGTAACGAGCATGATTCTCTACCACTTGTGCTACAGTGGCAGTCGTACTCCCGTACCCTTTATGGCATATATATATATATATATATATATATATATATATTTTGTGTATGTAAACTTGAAAGTGTTGGCTCTGTTTGAGCGGTACTAACACTTCCAGGTTATCCAGAGCATCAGAAGCGTTACCCGAAGGTTGCAAGTTTGGTCCCAGCTGACAGCAAGTTTTCTTTCCCTCCCCTTTAATTCCTTCACATTTCTTGGCTTCTTCGTCAGTTGGTTTCGATTAGAGTTGTGCTGGTCTCGTGGTGCCTTTTTTCAACGAATTTAGAAAGGCGCGTTGCCAGCCAGCCAGATAATGGGTCAAATGCGATCAACTTCTTTAAACCAAAATTTTAATTATGTGACTGGGTAATAAGGATTACAAAGAAATGAATAAACAAGTTGACGGGGCACACAACATTGTAAAAAAGCGGTGCGAATACTCGGGCACACAAAGATTAACTGAGGCGTGAGTGAAACCTGGTACTCTTTACGCCATGGCTTAAGGAGGAAGAGAAGAAAGAGAACTCACGACTTCGTGCGCCGTGCCGCCCCACACTCGGCAAGGGGTACTTCAATGTTCCCATAAACATTAGCACCCAAAGGCACCCCCCTTTTTCAAGAACAACTCCGCGCACAGCATTGAACACACATTGACACACACACACACACGCACACAAAACCCCAGAAAGGCAGTCGGCGCTTCGAACACTGTGCACTTTACGCGCAGAGAAACAGTAATCACACAACTAGAATTATTGGCTGCCGCGGCTTAACTTCCAATCAACACCACTACCCTATCTTTTCGAGCTATGTTTTTCATCTCACACTTTATAGCTCTCTGCGCAGTCCTTACCACACATTTAAGGAAGCACAAGTTATAAGCAGTTACAGTGCTCACCCTTTCCTGGAGAGCGAAGCAGCGGACTTCCGTCTTCTCGAGAGTCTCGTAGGTGAGAGGCAGCATCACTTCCCCGAGGAAGTCATTGCGGCCAAACATGTCACTGTGCCACACCGACAGCCACAGCGTGCGCGCCTGCAGCTCGCTCATGGTCACCCGGAACTGCATCGAGAAAAACGAAGACGTCAACTCAACATTCTTATTTTCAGATTCAGAGTGTGTACGGAGTTACCAAAAACTGGTTGAACTCGTAGGGTGGTTGCGGGTCCAAGAAAATAATTAATTATTACGAGTGCATTACCAGTGAGGCACATCAGGACTTCAGCAAATGGTCTTGAAACTGTCTTTAGGTGGCTTCAAGCTACTGCTTATTTTTATTTACATCACAGCTGTGCACTGAGAGAGCAGCGCAGCGATGGCGTAGTGGTTAGAGCATCCGTCTCGCATGCAAAAGGTCCGTGGTTCAAATCCCGGTGCCGTGCAGTTCCCAACCGGATAAAAAAAAAATCCGCGTGGTGATGGAACTGCATTAGGAGGCCTGGGGTGCGGCCTCACCGGTAACCACCGCCGGGAATGCACTTCCTCACCAGAGAAGGATTGGCCACCCTGGTGCAGTATCTGGCTACTACCTCCCACATGCATACGTCAAATAACTCACGGCCCTCAGTCCCCAGCAGCTGTGAAGCAACTGACCACGGCGGCGGTCAGATCTGTAACGCAGCAGAGGGTGCTAAGAATCTCTGGATCCAGACAGGCCGCCATCGGAACCTGAACTTGGCAACGTTTAACGCTAGAACCTTATCTAGTGAGGGAAGCCTAGTTGTACTGTTTGAGGAGCTAGAGGGTGTTAAATGGGATATAATAGGGCTCAGTGAGGTTAGGAGGACAGATGAGGCCTATACGGTGCTACAGATTGGGCATGTCCTTTGCTATCGGGGCTTGGCTGACAGAAGAGAACTGGGAGTGGGGCTCCTAATTCACAGAAACATAGCTGGCAACATAGAGGAATACTATAGCATTAATGAAAGGGTGGTAGGTATCGTAATTAAACTGAATAAGATATACAAGATGAAGGTGGTACAGGCTTACGCGCCTACATCCAGCCATGATGACGCTTCAGTTGAAAGCTTCTATGAAGACGTAGAATCGGCAATGAGTAGGGTAAAAACACAGTATACAATACTGATGGGAGACTTTAATGCAAAGGTAGGGAAGAAGCAGGCGGGAGACCAGGCAATAGGAGATTATGGCATCGGTACTAGAAACGCCAGAGGAGAGCTATTAGTAGACTTCGCAGAACGCAATAATTTACGGATTTTGAATACCTTCTACCGAAAACGAGGAAACCGCAAGTGGACATGGAATAGCCCTAATGGCGAAAATAAAAACGAAATAGACTTTATAATGAGTGCACACCCAGACATCGTGCAGGATGTGGAAGTGGTTGGCAAGGTACGATGCAGTGACCATAGAATGGTACGATCTCGAATTCGCCTAGACTTGAAGAAGGAACGACAGAAACTGATACGCAAGAAGCCAATCAATGAGCTAGGACTGAGAGGGAAAGTACAGGAATTCAGAGTGTCGCTGCAGAACAGGTACTCGGCTCTTAGTGAGGAAACCAACTTTAGCATAGATACAATGAATGATAATCTGACGAGTATTATTACGGAGTATGCAGCGGAAGTTGGAGGCAGGGTAGTTAGACAGGACACTGGCAAGCTTTCCCAGGAAACGAAGAATCTCATTAAGAAGTGTCAAATCATGAAAGTCTCAAGTATAACAGACAAAATAGAACTGGCAGAGCTTTCAAAGCTGATTAATAGGCGTAAGGTATCCGACGTAAGAAGGTATAACATGGAGAGAATTGAACACGCTCTAAAAAACGGAGGAAGCGTCAAAGCAGTGAAGAGGAAACTTGGGATAGGCAAAAATCGGATGTATGCACTAAGGGACAAAGAAGGCAAAATAACTACCAATATGGATAGGATAGTTAAAATAGTGGAGGAGTTTTACAGAGATCTGTACAGTAGCCGAGACAACCACGACCTTAATACTATAAGAAATAGCAGTAACCCAGATGACACCCCACCAGTAATGATAGAAGTCAGAAAAGCTTCGGAGAGCATGCAAAGATGCAAAGCTGCTGGTGAGGATCAGGTAACATCAGATCTGCTGAAAGATGGAGGACAAATTGCGTTAGAAAAACTAGCCACCCTCTTTACGAGGTGTCTCCTGACGGGAAGGGTACCAGAGTCTTGGAAGAACGCTAACATCATCTTAATACATAAGAAAAGAGATGACAAGGACTTGAAGAATTACAGGCCGATTAGCTTGCTCTCTGTAGTATACAAGCTATTTACAAAGGTAATTGCTAACAGAGTAAAGAAAACATTAGAATTCAATCAACCAAAGGAACAAGCAGGATTTCGAACAGGCTACTCAACAATCGACCACATTCATACTATCAATCAAGTAATAGAGAAATGCTCAGAATATAACCAACCACTATATATAGCCTTCATAGATTACGAGAAGGCGTTTGATTCAGTAGAAATATCAGCCGTCATGCAGACACTGCGGAATCAGGGCGTCAATGAAGTATATATAAACATCTTGGAAGACATCTACAGGGGATCAACTGCTACCATAGTGCTTCATAAAGAAAGCAACAGAATACCAATCAAGAAGGGTGTAAGGCAGGGGGACACAATCTCCCCAATGCTATTTACCGCGTGCTTACAGGAGGTTTTCAGAAGCCTAGAATGGAAACAGTTAAAGATAAGAGTTAATGGAGAGTACCTTAGTAACCTGCACTTCGCCGATGACATTGCATTGCTGAGTAACTCAGGGGACGAATTGCAACTCATGATTACGGAATTAGACAAGGAGAGCAGAAAGATGGGTCTTAAAATGAATCTGCAGAAAACGAAAGTAATGTACAACAACCTCGGAACAGAGCAGCGCTTCGAGATAGGTAATAGTGCACTTCAAGTTGTAAAAGACTATGTCTACTTAGGGCAGGTAATAACCGCGGAGCCGAACCACGAGATTGAAGTAACTAGAAGAATAAGAATAGGGTGGAGCACATTTGGCAAGCACTCTCAAATTATGACAGGTAGATTGCCACTATCCCTCAAGAGGAAGGTATATAACAGCTGTATCTTGCCGATACTTAGCTACGGAGCAGAAACCTGTAGACTTACAAAGAGGGTTCAGCTTAAATTGAGGACGACGCAGCGAGCAATGGAAAGAAAAATGGTAGGTGTAACCTTAAGAGACAAGAAGAGAGCAGAGTGGATCAGGGAACAAACGGGGGTTAAGGATATCATAGCTGAAATCAAGAAGAAGAAATGGACATGGGCCGGGCATGTAGCACGTAGACAGGATAACCGCTGGTCGTTGAGGGTAACTAACTGGATTCCAAGAAAAGGCAAGCGGGTTAGGGGGAGACAGAAGGTTAGGTGGGCAGATGAGATTAATAAGTTTGCAGGTATAAATTGGCAGCAGCAAGCACAGGAACGGGTTACAACATGGGAGAGGCCTTTGTCCTGCAGTGGACGTAGTCAGGCTGATGATGATGATGATGTGCACTGAGAACTGTCTAATGCCATAAGCTTGAATCAGACCGTTACCATTTAAAGGGATGACAGTCGCAACAATGGCTTTGAAGCTTTCAATCATGCATTTAACAAACAATGAAGTCATTCAAAGCATAGAGAAAATGCGCCACAAGAGTAGACAGAGATAAAACAAATAAAAAGGAACATGGACATGGGAGAAATATTTTTCCGCAGGCGATCATAGCTGAATAAATAACAAATGGCCAGAACAATGCACACAGCTCCCTGAAAATTCAGCTATAAAGTCAGGTCATCCACTTTCTTGGGTATTTACACTTATGTTTAAATCACCGAACCCCCAGAAGTTAACTGAGTATTTACTATGGCAATCAATGTACACACCTATGAAACCACAATCATTGAACAGTTATGTCTAATCAAATCAAGTTTTATTATTTCACAACACTATGTACAAGATATGCAAAAGGAGGTTCGGTGGTATAAAGTGAAATCGAACCGCCTGTAAAATTTAAACTCAAGTATTCATTTGGCCACATCAACAGTAGGAATAGTAAATTACAAGGTTGTAAAGAACTGGATACAATTAAATGACGATGCTAACATGAACTATATGTCATCGAAAATGTAGACTGTAAATATAAATAGCATAGAAAGACAGAAAAAGAAACAAACAAGAAACACATAGCTCTATGAAGTAATCGGTTAATACTAACAGTGTTGGTTATCAATATAGTGAACCCAAAAGCTGCCAGTTTTATTTTGATTTGGTTGTTGTTTAGTGGACGACAATAATGACCTTAAAAGTACATATTCACAACTTTCCATAGTTAATGTTACAGGGCCATGTATTCAAGCGAAAGCAAATAATTAATGCTCCAGGACATGAAAAGAATAGCATTAATCAGAAAGGCATTCTGCCTTCCGAGGCCAGATAATGATGCATATGACAAACAATACTGGCACATCTACTGTGATACTATTTGTACCGTCTCCGGGGGGTCCCTAGTCATCTGAGAGGAGGGGCACTGCAACAATCCTCACCCCCCCCCCCCCCCCCCCCCAAAGTGGTACCCTGTGCATGCCTATTCTCATATATAATTGGTAAATTATTTAGAATAAATCATAGTGAAGTAAAACTTTGCTGCTTTTAAACGACACGGTGAATGTTGGTTGCCCAATTTTGTAGAATTTTGCAGCAAGAATACTGAGTAATGTTACCCTGTCAGCTCGATTGTGCCAGCTTTTCTTAAAGAAGCAGGGCGTCCCCTCTCAAAGCCTTTGACTAAAATCAAGTAGCATACAACGCTTAACAGATGACAGATTGTGAGTCTATTGGCTTGGACTAGTTACATATTACAAGGAATTGTGTAATGGTGGTGATTTAAGTTGCAGATGAGCTATCCGACCATTTTCGTGGCGATAAACCCTGAAACCAAGGACCTTTAGGTTTAAAGCAAGTAAAGCAAATGTTTCAAGGCTTCTAACAGGGTATTCAAGTAATCTAGATTCGTCAAATCTTGGTCCTTTTCGTTGCGCGTTTCAGAAACATGACCCGAGTGGTTAATGAAACGTGAACAAACTGTGGAAGATTGCTCAAACGAAATACGTACCTTGAGCACTTCTTCGAAAACAGGATTGAGAGTGTGCTTCTTGACTTTGGTCTTGCGCTTGCCGCTTTTGGTCTTATCGGGAAGCAGGTAGACCTTCACATACCTGGGTGAAAAGTGTAACCATAAGTGTAAACATTTAAAGAAACGCAGGCAGCGTCTCCAGGTGTAGTGCAATATTGGTGATACAAACCCAAGGGTGGGCGAAAATATATGTATACTCAAAATTTTATTTATTTATTTCTTTATTTATGCTGTTAGCGCCAGTGGGGCCGTTACAAAGTGGTAGACAACAAAAGAAATAACACTAACAAAGCTTCACAGCCTGATACAAAGACGCATTTTCGTAGACAAATCCAAGAGCAAATTTGAGCACAGATACCATTTGCACGCAGTGGCAAGCTATAACGACAACAAAGACAAGCAACACGTTTCAACAACCGAGGTCTCATCGGCCACGCACAACATCCCCGCATACAAGCGGCGCAGCAAGTGTTCTGCAATGGAATGCGCAGGAATTGCACCAAGAAACACGTGTACAGTGCATGCGCAAGACAGGAGCACAAGGAAATGCAAGAACATACGAATAAAGCGTTACAGCAGCTATTAATCACTTATAAGTGAGTAATGACGAAGCAAGGAACTTTCACACTGATTAACTGTGACTGCGGAGAGAGAGAAACGAGAAAAAAGGAAGGCAGGGAGGTTAACCAGATGCTAGTATCCGGTATGCTACCCTACACTGGGGTTGGGGAATTGGGGGATGAAAGAGAAAGGGAGAGTTAAAAAATAAATAAGAGAAAAGCACCGACACACACGCGCACACAAAATCAGTCCACTCAGAGGCGTTCCGACAGGCCAGTAGTTCGTAAGAAGCCCAGTAGCGCTTGCACGGCTTTCTTCTGTGACGATGAGTCATGACGATGGCGCAGTGTACTTTCTTCTGGCAGCGGCTGGTCATCTAAACCGGAAATTGCAGCCTGTGGAAGGGCATTCCAGGCTTCTATTGTTTTCGGTAGGAACGCATATTTAAAACTGTCTACCCTGGCATTATTTGCGAGAAACTGGCCCGCATGGCTACCCCTGACGGTGCGAGTGTTCCTTGGTTTTAAATACGAACAAGTGGCTAAGTTTAGGGAATTGTTCTTTAGCATGAAAAGAGAATTCAACCTAGCTATTCTCCGTCGGTCTGAAAGGCGAGGTAGTTTAAGATGGCTTAGCATGTCACTAACCGAATCAGTGCTTCTAAATCTCGACAGAATAAACCTAGCTGCTCGCCTTTGTATTTTTTCAATCTTATCAATTTGGTATCTCCTATATGGATCCCATATAATGCTCACATATTCTAGCGTAGGCCGCACAATCGTCAAATATGCCATAAGCTTTGCTTTGGTTGATGGCAGTTTCAATTTTCTTCTTAAAAACCACAGCTTCTTTTCTGCAACGCTGCACAAGTGGTTAATGAGAGTTTTCCAACTAAAGTCTTCAGATAGGATGACACCCAAGTATTTAAAATGCGTTACTCGCTCTGACTCATGCCCGTCTAATCGGTAGGAAAAGGCCAACACATTTTTTACATTTTTTGTGACTGTCATGTACGAGGTTTTGCAATAGTTAACTTTCATTTTCCATTTCTTGCACCAGTCGCCTATATTATCTAGTGCAGCGTTTAAAGCGAGCTGGTCATTACGATGATTTATTCTCGAATATATAAGGCAATCGTCTGCGAACAGGCGAAGCTTAATATTAGGTGAAACTGTTTATGCAATATCGTTGATGCAGCACAAGAATTGAATCAAATAACAAAGTCGGTTCTCAAACCTTGATATGCACACAAAATATTTATTGGCGAATGCGGTGGTGGCACCACTTGCTTCCGTAAAAGCGCATGCTATCGCTTTGAAGCGACCACTGATTGCTGCACAGCGGTTGTGGCAAACACCAGTTCCGTTTTCAATTTGCGTGAGTTGGCCGTGAGCGCACCTTTAAACTATGTCGTTCGTTACCTATGATGACGTTTGCTCGGTTTCGTACGCAGCTCTTGCGAAAAGCAGCGTTGCTTTGACTGGGTGAGCGTTGGATGCGCGTGCACTTACGGAGTTCTGTCGGTTTCGTCCACAACGGTTGTGGCAAACAATAACCACAGTTGTAACAGTGGTTATTGTTTAGCATGCTGGAAGCTGCGTACTTCCGCATCTCCCAGCTATAACTCAATGGTTTCGGTACGAAAATTATGGTTACCCGCGGTAAAGGGTTCGAAACACGCGAATTTCAACCCGTTTGACACAGTGCGATTTGGCGGAGAACTTGACGAACTTGTAGCAGCCACTTTGGCATCCCCGAGATATTACTGTACGCCATATAAATGGCTCCTAAATTGGTTCAGATGGATAGCATTGGGTTAGATTTTAGTAAAATTTGTGAAATCACACATATAAATTTTGCTTTCTGGGCGACTTATCAGCCAAACATACACCGTACAAAATGGTCAAAATCTGGGAGTTTCCCGGGTAATCCGGGAGACTTGGCAGGTATGGACATGGCACAATGAGGGCACCATTGACAGCCCAAAGGAGCTTTTTAAACTACCTCTAGTACTAATTTCATCATCATCATCAGCCAGATTATGCCCACTGCTGGGCAAAAGTCTCTCACATGTTCTGCCAATCAACCTAGTCCTGTGCTTTTTGCAGCCATGCTATGCCTGCAAACTTCCTAATCCCATCTGCCCACTTGACTTTGTGCCTCCCCCTCACCTGCTTGCCTTCTCTGGAAATTCAATCAGTTACCCTTAATGACTATCCTGCCTATGCGCTACGTGCCCGGCCCAAGTCCATTTCCTCTTCTTCATTTCAACTACGATATCCTTAACCCCGCTTTGTTCCCTGACCCACTCTGCTCTCTTCCTATCTTTTAAGATTACACCTATCATTTTCCTTTTCATTTATCGCCGTGTCGTCCTCCATTTAAGTTGAACCCTCTTTGTAAGCCCTTAGGCTTATGCTCCTTAGGTACGAGAAGGTACGGTGTGGCTCTTATATACAGTTAAACCCCTTTGTAAGAGGCATGCTCCAGGCAGAAATTCTTGTCTCTTATATGTGATGTCTGCTATAAGCAGCGTACCTGATATGCATTTTCTTATCTACCCGTATTTCACTGTGGGCACACTGGTGTCTTATACACCCATTGGTCTCTTATAACAGTGTCTCTTATAAAGGGGTTCAACTACCTTCCTTTTGAGGGATAGTGGCAGAGTAGTACTCATGATTTGGAAATGCTTGCCGAATGTGCTTCATTCTATTCGTTTTCTTCTAGTTATTTCACTGTAGTGGTTGATCTTCGCCGTTACTACCAGTTCTAAGTAGTCATATTCCTTTACAACTTCCAGTCTCCCACCACTTATCGCAAAGCACTGCTGTCTGCCGAGACTGTTGCACATTACATTAGTTTTATGCATATTAATTTGCATAACTACTCTTCTGCTTTACTTGTTTATTTCAGTAATCATGAGCTGTAATTCATCCTCTGAGTTACTCATCAGTGTAATGTCATCAACAAATTGTAGGTTACTAAAGAACTCTTCCTTAACTTTTATCCCTAACTCTTCCCAATCTAGGACCCTGAAAAGCTCTTGCAAACATGCGGGGAATAAATAGCATTAAAAAGATTGTGTCTCCTTGCCTGACGCTCTTCTTTATTGCGGTTCTGTCGCTTTCTTCATAGAGGACTATGATGGCCGTGAGTAGATTTCTTTCAGTATGTTTATATAGGCTTCGTCGATGCCCTAATTTCACAGCGCCTGCATGAATGCTGATATCTTGGCTGAATCAAATACTCTATTGGATTATCTGGCCACTAAGAAGCTTCCATTGCATGTAAGAGTCAACCAGTATTAAGCTAAGACTACATTTAACATTCCACTGATGGCAAATCTGAAGCATACTATGTTAAATGAATAACCTTATTTTTTTGTGCAGCTGGGTGGGCTGAAGCATTCTGATTAGTCTTATAACATACAGGCATCAGTGCTTTAGAATTGCCGCTAAACCACTTACGGGTCGGAGCGGTTGCGCTTGGTGTCCACGGGCGCCAAATTTCGGCACTCCCGTACGTGCACTTCTAGCAGTCCCGATTTGTAGTTGTAGAGGATGGAGAAGAGGACTTCGCCAGTGACGGCCACCGTCCCATACCGACCGCCACCGGCTGCGCTGTACACGCTCGTCATGCTCTCACTGCGCATCTGCTGTGCCGGGAAAGAAACGAAAAGAAAGCCTTTGTTCAAAACCCTGCACAAACACAACACAATTGGCACCTCTAACTAGCACTGAAAGATCAGTTTCAGGTGGAACTGTTATTACAACAATTTCAAAGATGTAAGGGCAAAATGCGAGACATTTGGTGCCAAGAAAGTGACAGAAATGTCTACAGCAGAAATGCGATATTGGACAATGTCTGCATCTCATAAATGAACTAAAAGATGCACGGTTCTAACTACGGGAACGTTGTGGGTAATAAGGGCTATGTGTAAAAAAAGTAACTAGCATGAAAGGTGATTTCATGAACACTTCAATATTTTCTCTATTTTCTCAATTATTGATGAAGCCACAGCTCAATGTTAATAATTGTAGGGGTTTAATGTCCCAAAACCACAATATGATCATGAGAGATGCACTCTGCTCAGTGTTCAACATTTAAAACTTACAGACTGCTTTTAAACAGCTTTGCCGGAAACTGGTGTCATGAGATGAAGTCCTCAACTATGCCAAGGGCTCACTCCTCCATTTTTTAAAATTTCTTTACAGACTGGAGAGTTTCCCTAACTGTGACACCACGATGACAATAATCAAGGATGCCAGACTTGGCTACCTATGGCCAATTGGCTGCTTTTGGTGCCATTTGCATAAAAAACATGAAACTTCTGAAATCGTCAGCAACTTCAGTAAGCCCGCAGGTCAGCAAATAGTACGACATTTTCCGTGAACAGTTACGGCTTTGAGCGGTGGCATTAGGATGTCCTCGATCACTCGCACGTGCTTCTACGTGAAAAGTTAATAGAGATTATTTCAATGCAGTCAAGGGAGCTGATATCTCTAACACGAAGTGCAGAATGAAAATTCCTGCAGTAATAGTTCAGTTCCAGTTTGGCTACTTTCTCGGCAAACTTTCTGAGCGACAGTGAAGCATCATTACTTGCAGTTAAAAAAAAAAACGAAAAAAAATCTCTATTATCTGCAACAGAAATGCTCAAGCTACAGTGTTGCCACGCTTGAAGCATGAGAAGCAATTATACCTCTTTTACATGAGTCCCCTTGATCGTGATTATTGTAACAGTGGCACTCGCTAAATCCAATCAGTATAAGAGACAGCCCAAGCCACAGTTTGAATGTTAACTGCAGTTGATGAGTTAATTGCTCTTGGCAACGAGCAGGCTACAACAGGCTTTCCCATGGTGAATACTAAAGCTAGCTCTGCTCTGCAGGTTGACTTGCTACATTACACAACCTTTGTTTTTTCTCCTGTTTGGAGAATAGGAAAATAAGAGTCTGCACAAATGAATCTACTTACGCTGACGCCAATAGATGACAGACTCGTCTGGCTGCGACTGTAGATTCGTTCGAGTTCGTCATCTCGGTGTGTGCTGTCTCGATCCATGCTGTCTGCACTACTTTTGATCGAGGAGCTCTGTTGAAAGGACAAAAAAAAAAGGTACAGCGCGAGAGCGCTATCCACCTTTCATCCTCCTTATCTGCAAGCATCATCATGAACAGTCACCTCATTTTGTAGTTGTCAGAGGTCGAGCTCCGTTAAAACGAAGCAGTTTGTAGAAGTGTGCTTAGAACATGCAAAAATATCTGAGGGAGTGAAAGTGTGCCTGAACACATTCACTGTCAAACGATCTACGTAAGAGAAACGGTAAGGTACTTCTGACCTTGACACTTCAACTCTCACGGAACAACTTGTACAATGCGATGTATTACCATAGTGATTTACCTATATTGTAACATTTATACCATCCACTTTATTTGTTAAACTATTCAGTTACGATGCAATGTTTAGAATAATGGAAAAAAAAGCATACCAGCTTGTGAAGTTCATCACATGCACTTTTAACTTTCAGAGTGCCCACACGTACTCAAACTATTCAGCAGCAGGCAAAGAAGGGAAGCCTCCAAGCTAAGGTTTGTTAAGCCAATGCAGATAACATTTCTACTTTCTTGTGACTTCTTGAAGATCAACGAAGAAAAACGAGACGTTAAGTTTACATTTCCCTTCTTTCATAGCGAGGGTCTCGCTCTGGCAGACTGGATGCCCTGAGGTGGTACATGAGGGATTATTGGTCAGCTGCCATCTCGTATTAAGATCACATACTATGTGACGCCAAACTGGCAAGAATGAGTGTTCCATGCTCGCCATAATGGCAACAGGTGACGCTAATACTCTCACATATAAATGCACACCCATAAAGTACACGTACACAGGGGGATGACTGTCACCGTAGCGCAGTGGTAGACGCATTATTTGAAGGTCACAGAATCGAATCCTGCCAATGCCATGTTACATTTTCATCCATTTTTCTTCATGCCTACATTACTTTTAATAACGTCTCCTATACTTTCCTTGGCATTACTGTATGTTAGTTCTCATTATTATTGTGTCCAACAAAAAAAATGTGTCCTCAAATTCACACTTCCCTTTTTGAAGACTCAAATGTTATGGAATGCTGATGGCAAGAGGCAAGCTGAAAATTGTAGAGATTTGTCAGTGGAGCAACAAAACCTTGCGATGATTGCATCAGAGTGCTGTGAATGCCAAAGATGAAGTGAAGTTGCTTGCATTGTGGCAATAGATGAGACTTATTACAAGAAGACTGTAGAGAGCATTAGAAGAGAGCAGAAGAAAGGCTTAGAAAGGCGGCAAGACTCTGTCTTTTAACTTCCATGTAACAAAACTGAGGATGATCAAATAGAGAGAGAATGCAAAGTGAAAGAAAATTGTATGAACATTTTTAAGGCAGAAAAAATTTCCATGACCAACCAGCAATGCCATAAAGTTCGTGCATGCCAAAATGCATTGGAGCGAGTAGCAATGCCACGTATGTATCCGCTAGGACAAAGTTATCAGCACTCGTGATTCACAAGCAAGACAAAGGACAAAGGAATGTGGACAACACAGGCGTTGCCCTTCCTTAAAGTCTCTAATCTTGTTTGCACTGGCCCATTATGAGTACATTCTAACTGGCCCAATTCGCTAACTTGCTTGTACTGTAAGGAATGTGTCACAAACGTCACTATGCGACTGCCACGAAGATGGTTTTTGTGCCATTTTTTATGCTGTCGAAAGTGCAGCAGCCTATATGATTTACGGATTCACTGCTTAAATTTAGCTTGCTCGCACATACTGCAAGCGTGTCTTTACTTGCTTGTGACTACCGTAAAATCCCGAGCATGCTAAATCTAACTAAGCAAAATTCAATTTCTATTCAAGTTACTCTGCTTGTATGTGTGATTGCATTAAAACATTTCAAAAATCCATAAATACACTTAATGTGTCACATGTTTTTGTGTCCAAATATAGTTTTATATCCAATATTTTGGAGTGAGAACAGTAATAATAATAACAGGTCCTCTAGTCTTCATAAAGAGGGAGGTTGGGAGAAAAATCTCGGAAGCAGCTTGACTAGCTCCTACTCCCCGAAAAGTACAGTTTGGAGAGTTCACAGTAGCACAAATCAATAGCCTTACTAACACGGTAAATGAACAGGAAGTGAGGTAAAAAGAAAGGATGGAGAAACAGCATTATCACTAACAATGAAATTCACTTCCATTGGAAATAAAATTAATGCAACTGAGCAACTTACAATGCAAAATTAAACTCCAAAGATTTTGGCAAATATAGAGATTTATGAGAAGGGAACTTCGATAAACAAACAACAACAAAAAAAAAACAACACCCTCCGAATTTCAAGAAAACAGGAAGCCCTAATGTAACCAGTGCAATTTACCTCGTCCGCTCCAACAATGGCAATGGTGGGCAGAAGACGGTTCGAGTCATCACTGCCACCAGAAGAGTGGCGCGAGCGGCCCCTCAGGCGACCCCGGGGAGAAGAGCGGTGCGACCCGCTGCTGTCGTCAGCTGCAGTCGCACGAGAGGCACAGTTAGACAGGTGCGCAACGTCACTACACTCAAGCGCACATTCGCTGGGTTGCCCAAGTTTGAACTACATTTTAAAATGCAGAAAAATGTAATACAATGCAGAAACGCACAATAAAGGCAAGGGTAGACTATTTTTAATCACTTCCTCCAGGAGCTCGAAGTTGCAGTAAAAATATTTAGCACCATGATTAGAGCGTCAACTGATAAAGTTGCTGCTAAGGTACTTTGTCTGGCTAATATGACTCATTAGAAAAGCGACTAGATACCCCCCTAAGTACTGTGCTAATGCTAAAAGCCTGGCCCCGCTCAGCACAACGAAGTATGAAGCCCTCTAAGTAGGGGTTCATACTCCATTGCCATTTTGCACAGCCAGAATTCTTTTTAGGGAAAGGGGGATAAATTGAACAGCTTCACCCTCCTCTGGGCTTTGCCAATGCCAGTTATCTTACACCCGATAGATAAGTCAGCTGCTCCACTTCGTAAGGAGGCAGCTTTTTCGCAGGTTCTCTGGCACCATTTTAGCAACTCGAAAATTTCGGGGTCAATTTTTGTCTGTCATCATCAATACTTGCTTTTCCGGTTACTGGTGCTTACGAGCCCTGCGGTATGTGAACATGCGCTTGTCATTTCCACATATGCCTGACTGCCTTCAAATAGTTGAATATTGACATTTTGTAATGAAGACTTGGTCAAGCTGCTAAAAAAAAGGGCATCATTCTGTTTCCTACATTTTTATACTTCACTTCTCACTGAAATGTGCATAATTAACAGCTGTACAAAATCAACAAGCTTTTTTCTTATTTGTCATTCTTGAGGCCTAGTGTACATAATGACATTAGTAACAGATTGCGTGAAAAAAGAGGACCTGGAGAACATGACGTCTTTTTTTAAAAGCGAAACAACGCAGCTTTCGTCGGTACCACGACATATGCAGGTTACGACCCTGAACAAACGCAAGGTTCTCATATACATAACATAGCCAATGATAAGGAGACAATGCTGCACTGTTGGACAAATGTCAAAGTGCAACCTTCTACCGAGACAATTTTGAGCTACCAGTGATGCCAGCTTTACAAAATGCAATTGCAGCTTGAGTGATTTTCAAAAGTGAGAACCACAGTGAAGCAACATTGCAGGTAGCATACCTGCATTGCAAAATGTGCTCCAAGAGTGTTAGTAAGTAGTAAAGAGCAAAAAAAGGCATGAGAAACATTCAGAGTAAGTAGGCAGGATTGGTACAAGATCATTCAAACCAAGCTTTACACTGTTGATAAGGTGATGATAACCTTGTAAAACAGGAAAAAATTTTACTGTGAGCAAAGCCTAAATGAATGCGATACTCTCAATTAAAACATTGGTCTCTTGGACCCTGCTTACAACGAAATTCTGGCAGAGCATAATTTTAGTTAATTTCACATCTTGCCTTGTCCATGTTTTTACCTGAGCTAATCTGAGTTTTAAGTGGTTTCTGGTTAAAAGAGACAAGCACGCTAGAAGTATGCATCAGCCATGGTTGCGTGGCATTAGAACTGGTGCAAAGAGAGCTCAAATTGTTGATCCGAGCAAGATAGGTCATGATCTGCTATCATTGTTTTTATAAAGACTTGGGAAGAAAGCATTTTAATTACATAATAGATATGCCAGGGGGACCCCCAAGCTTTCCAAATGAAGTGAAACAGATGTTGGTCATGTGACATAAGCCTTGATTACGCAACCTAATGTGAACGCATATCTATCCCACTCGCAGTTTCACAGATATTTTTTAAATTATAAATTTTGTCCCTCATCCATGAAAACTGCCAATTGTTCATGGGACTCACTGCATGCACATTAGAGTGGCTTTTAATTGCAAGCCATCAAGATTTAAAATATTTCAGCAGTAAATGACAGATGTCTAATCTAATTAGCAATTAGCCCTATCAAAATAAACAGCTCTATTTCACAGAAAAAGTGGCCACAATGTCATAAAGGTTCTTGTTTTGTTAAAGAAAGGTGGAAACCTTCAACTTAAGGTGGAGCAGCTACTGTGCATTTGAGCACGAGTGTCTGTTCCACATATAAGAAGAGGACCCTGTACATAGGAGTGTAGCTTCATGAACTCCGTAGGAAAAGGCAATGAGAAAACTGTCACGCGCAGACAGAAAGCACTCCCACTTAATAATAACAAGCACAACATGCACACGCAGCACAAGATGCATGCAGCACACAACCAGCACAAGATGCATCCAAGGCAGAAGTGCAAGCAGGAGCATGCACGTAAACGAGGACGAGGTAAGAACACAAGACAGGCAGCAATGAGGTTACAGTGACGATGCAAGTACGCTTCTCGCTGTTACACCCAAGCCCCCCCACTGCATCGAAGAGAACAGAAAGTATTGCCATCAATACCCACGGTCTCAGAAGTTCAAGGCACATGTGTAAGTAGGTAGATAAGACAAAAAACAGCGCTTCAGGGAATATCACTGGATAGTTCTTCACAATGAAGAGCACACAAGCTGTACATGAAATCACAATGTTTCCAAAGCATGTAGATATAATAAGGTTGGCATTCTGACAGCCACAAACACTGCTTAAATCACTCTGCAAGATGCTCTCTCCTGTGCACAGCACTACACGCTAAATACAGTTGCACCCTTTAAAACGTCTCTTTGTACCACAACGATATTCGTCAACTATCGTGGATGTCTTTCCTTGAGCTACCACCACATATTAGATACCTCCTGGTCACTAGAAGTATGTACGCTATCAGGATGAGATAGCATTCTTGATTATTCAACAACAACCTAAGAAGAAATGGCAGCTCCACCCACAGAACCGCAGTGTGCCTGCCCTTCACCTGTGAAAGACAGTTGTGCTAGTTGGTTTCTGCTCGAACTGAAAGTACTTTTCTAATGTTTATACTAAGAATATTAAGAGTTGAAGCTTTGTCATCACCACCTCAAAAAGTAAGCGTGACCGAGCAACGATATCAGACTTTCAGATGAAATTTACAAAGATCTTCTAGTCTATGACCTAAAACCAGTGACACAAACGTAGGTCTGTATGAGAAAGTCCACTTAAAACACTCGAGAAGCACTTCACCTCATGAAAATGAGCAAATGCCATTGGGCGGAATGCTGATGCAAATTTTTTGTGGGAAGGAGAGTGGCGGCTCGAACGGAGCTGACATTCTCAGGTTCTAACAGAGTACAAAAATCTCACAAACAGAGAGATGTTGGGAAAGGTAAGTACACATGACTACTATAATCGTTGTATGACAGAAAAGACGCCCCAAAAGGGGACAACCATCTTTAGCGTGCAGGTTCTTTTTACCTTTCAAGGCTGTCAGCTTGCGCAGGACACCCGAGGTAGAGAAAAATGTGGACGAGAAATGGCGCTGGCGAAGGACCATGGATGAAGAGTGTGGGTTGGGCCGGTTCACCTTGCTGCGTAGACTAGAGGGAAGCGTGCTCGACTTGCAGTCGCTGGCACTGTTAGCGACAAACACTGAGTCTGGGATGCTGCCCGAACTGAGCGAGTTCGAGTTGCCCTTGACGGGTGATCCTGGTGACGACCATGCTGGGCGCACGGGCTCCTCTTCCACTTCCGGAATCGTCTCCGACGACTGCACTGATTTCTGCTTCGTCAAACATCCCGACGGTGGCCTGCTGCTACCCTGCTCATCTAGGCTGAGGACACTTTCCTCGGACGATTTGAAGGAGTAGTAACCAGTGTCGCGGAACGTCTTGCCCGGGTTGCCCTCGAGGTCTGCGATGTTCCCCACGGACTTCGTGCCCAGAAACTTGGACGTGCTGCGTTCACTGTCGCTGAAGGTAGCAAGCGAAAGGTTGTTTTCACTGCACGACTTTTCCTTGCCACTTATTCGCTTTCCAAGTCCGTCTGTGCCCTGGTTCGCTTCCGAGGGCTCCTCTTTGTCCTCGTGGGCAGCCGTGTCCAGAATAGAATGTTCGGACTTGGAAGCACCCTTGGAATGGAAGAGCTGTAAAGAGACACTGCCTGCTTTCCTGTAAGGTGCAAGACTGTCGCTGCTTCGTGTGACCACTAGTTTACGTTGGGCCAACCCTCTTCGTGCCTTAATGTAGAGTGATGATTCTGAGCGCGATTTGTCGGCAGACGTTTCAGTGGGAGACACACTGGGCTCCGGAGACATTCCAACCGTCTTGGGACAAACCTCGAGCACAGTCTCAACACTACCACAGAAGTCAATGTCGGAGCCTGTGGTGAGAGTCGACGAACTGTCACACTTGGCTGTGGTGCCACTGGCAATGCTGAACATGCCCGGCAGTTCAAGCTTCTCCTCGACGGTGACCGTGCTCAGCTTTGGAAGGATGCAGCTTGGTTCCAGGAACTCTAATTTAGAGCCTGGTTCTTTGGTTCCAATAAGAGGAACCTCCTGACCAGACTGTAACCGGAGAACGGGCACCTTGAAAGGGGGCAGGATGAAATGGTCTGACGGTTCCTCACCGTCACAACACGACAGCTTTGAGAGGGAAATGTTATCCGCTAGTGTGGCCCCCGAAGACTCTAGCATGTTATAAAGCTCGTCCATTTCATTGGACATTTCCGATTCTGTGGCAGTGTGGTCCGAGTCATAGCTCGGGATGCTAATGCTTGTTGAGATGGTTTCAGATCCTGACTCTGAAGGTGTCTTGCTCTTTCCCATCTTTTTCTTTTCAGAGAGGTTGGGAGAATCCACGTCGGAGCATTCACTTGAGCCTCCGGTCAACGTTAAGGGCTTGCACCTCCTCTCACGCAGTGGAGAAGCATTACGGCTACCGCTGACTGTATGCATCAAAGCAACAATTTGATACTGAATGTACTCTTGAGCCTTCATGTAGTCATTATGGTTGTGGTCTGAGATGATGGGGCAGCTGCTCTTTTCATCTTTGTTGACCTTCTCGTCCGATAGCAACTTGAGAGACTGCATAAGCTGTCTGCAAATGAACATGGTCTCTTCGGAGATGGTGGAATCGTTACTGTGACCACTTAGGTTATCGGCAAGCTTGTCATCTACTGCAGCAGAAAGCTGTCTACTTGGTGAGCGCCGCCCTGGTTTCTTGTGGTGACGAGGCTTGGGAGACCCTTCTTCATCAGTGGAAGAATACGTTCCAGACTCTAACGTGTCACTTCCGTAGTCACTGTTGTTGCTGCCGATGGTACTGCTACAACTGCTCTCCCCAGAGAGAGCAGCAGGAGAAACCGTCTGCATCAAACGTGTGATTTGTGACTCCAGGAGAGCCTTCCAAGGTGTGATGTTTTCATCGACTTTCTCAGTCTCGTCGCTCGTGCCAGAGATGTGGGCGAGCACTCTATTAACAATGTAAGCGGCCTCTTCGTCGGAATAGCAATCGGTGGATGAAGATCGACTGTGAATGCTCGTGGCATCTTCCTCTATAGCCGAATTCTTTGAATCCTTCATCATTTCGTCGTTTTGAGTCATTTCACTGGTTGAGCTGTTGCACATGCTTTCAATGCCTGATGTAAGTTCGTTTACAGAATCCGACAATGACTGCTGCATGTCAGTGTTAGCTTCTGAAGTGGGAGTGACAGACATGCGACTGTCCTTAGTCTGCTGGTTAGGATCTTTGGTAGTGGTGTTGTGTGAGTCGTTTTCAGTGACAGGATCAACGAGAATTATCGTGCTTTCATCGGCAGTTAGTGTGGCATCAAGGTTTTCAAATGAAGTGTCTTGCAAATGTTGCTGTGACTCGTTGAGCATGTTATATTCGGCAGTGTTATTAGGTTCGTTATCTGGCTGCACTTCAAGTGTGTCTTCTTTCTTTTTCTTGATGGTAGCAAAGCCTTCCTCTTCGAGAACAACTTTGACTTCCGCCACGTCCTCATCATCTTTCTTTTTTCTCTTGATTGTGCCGCAAGAGTCAGCAGCCTCGAATGCTAGGCTCGCTGCGGCCACCGCCTTTTCTTTCTTGCCTTGTTTGGAAGTTGCCCTTCTGTCTTCGTCGTCGCTGCTAATGCCTCCACTCTCGTCGGTAAACTCGGCGTCGTCGGGATAGTGAAATTTGCCAGTTCCCAAAAGTCCAGAAGTGAAGTATTTTTCTAACCTAGAAGACGCCAACTCCTCGGGGTCCTCTTCCAGCACTTCGACGTCGTCTACACCAGAAGTCTCAGACACCGAATCGCTGAAGTCCTCACTCGTGGCGATCGACCACCTCTTGTGTATCTCTTCCAGTGACGCGTTGCCAATCGCGAAGCTGAAGTATTTCTCCAGCTCGGAAGACGGGTTCTTCGTCACCGGTGTCGTCGCTCTGGAACTCTTTTCGCTCTCTTCGCAGCTCTCTTCGAGTATGGTGTGTAACGAGTACGACAGCGGATTGCCATACTGCGCGGCGTTGAATCGTGGCATCGGAGAAATGTACATGGCGTCGTCAGACGAAGTCGACGCGTCGCTGAACACGTTCTCTTCTTCTTCGTCGCACGACGTGTCACTTGTGTCACACGACGCGAGACCCGCCGTCGGAGACTGATCGCTCCGCGAAGAGTCGCCGACGTCGCCTTCATTTTGTTTCGCTGGAGCGACCGCAGTGGGGTCCGGTTCTGTTTCGGCGGACGGCGTTTCGTGACACTCGAACGATTCGGTGAAGTATTTTTCCAGCGTGGACACAACCAGGCCTTCGAGATCAATGTCTTTTTCCCGTCTTTCGCAAAGTGCGGGAGCTGCGGGCTCGGCCACTTTCGCGTCGTCTTTCGGTGCAGTGACGGCACTGTCGATTGTTTCGCTCGATTTCCGTTCCGCTTCGTCGACCGCGGCAGTATTACAAGAAGCAACACACTCACCGACGGTATCCTCAGCGGCGTTATCCGTACCGGGCTGTTCGCAATCCGAAACACACGCGGGCACAACCACCACCACCTGTTGCTGCTGTTGCACATCAACACACACGGTGGAGTCCGCGCTGCCCGCAGCCTGCGCTTCGTCGTCGCACGGAGGCGGGCCGCACGCGTCAGCGACCGCGCCGCTCATCGGCGGAGTCCTGTTGGCGGGGGCGCCGTTCTCCTCGAGCTGTCCCACTTCCCCGAGCACACCACCTTGGCCGCCACCGCCGGTGCTTTCCTCCGCCATGTTGGCCGACGCAGGTGCATTGTCCGCACAATCTTCGCCGGGACTCGGTGCGCGTACGCCTTTTCGACAGCTGTCATCTTCCTCGACTGGGACGTCCCGTTCGGGCCCGAGCGCCGGGGCGCTCAAAGGGACGCGGCCCTCCATGATCGCATCGTCCTGTACGACGAGCGAGTCTCTCGGCAACCACCGCCACGGTCCCGCGATGGCGCCGCCGTAGTAGTCAGAGCTGCTGCCGCTGTGGTCCTCCTCTCCCACTTCCGGCGGCGCTGAGTCAACGACAGGTGGAGCAGCGGCCGGCAGCAGCAGGACTTCTTGGCCCGGTTCTCCTACGCCGGCCGCCGCATCGCGCACGGCGGCGAGCGCCAGATTAGCGTCGTCCTCGTCATTACGATTGTCCGCCGGCCCGGCGAGAATAGGAACGGCTGCTGCCGCTTCTCCGTGCGATGCCAAACTGGTTCCCTCGTTGCCTTTGCTGATGGTGCCGGCGGCAGCCGACCGTTTGCCGCGTCGCCGTCCCATCGGGCCCGAGGCGCTGCTTTCGCCTTCCTCGCTTCTCGCCTCCTCCGGAGACCTTTGGCCGGGGTCGACCACCTGCGGCCCCGCGGCGGCAGCGACGCCTAGGAGCTCTTCCTTCGGCGCCAATTCTTCCTCCAAACCACCTCCGTCCTCCTCCACGTCGGACGGGAACTCCCAGTCGGAGCTATCTTCCACGTACACGGCGCCCTCAGGCCCCACGGCGAGCCGGGAGCGCAGCAGGAGCCAGAGCCGGGACGCCGCCGCCTCCACCTCGGAGTCGTCCTCCGAGGATTCGGACGAGCTGCTGATGAAGACCAGCTTGTAGTCGTCGGGCGAGCGGTCGCGCAGCTTGACCTCGCAGTCGGACGGGTAGTCGTCCAGTGGCCACAGACGGCTGTCGTAGCTGTTCTGGCTGGCAGGACGCGAGGGCCACTGGTCCGACGCCGCAGAGGACGCGGCCGCAGATTCCTTGAGCAGGTCGCGGATCCGCAGAGATCGCCTCCGCAGCTGGTCCAGGCGCCGAGCAAGCGGCGAGCAGGGCGGGCTCGGCGGCGCATTAGTGGAAAAGGAAAGGACATCGCCTAGCGTGGGATTAGTGTTAGCGCTAGCCGCGCACGTAGGCTCGCCGCCGCACAGAAGAAAGTCGTCAAAGACAAGCGGGGGCGGGAGGATTGGGAACTGGCAGCAAGGGGAGGGGCATTCGTTAGCGGGATGAACGTTATTTGGCGCGAGAGAGTCGCCGCCACCGCCGCCACTGCTTTCGCCGCTGCAGCAGTCGGCGGTGTCCTCATCTGTCGGAGAAGACAAGCCGTAGCAAAACGGAAAAAAACTGTTCAGTATCTGAGGAAATCCCCGCCGAGTACAGACATACAAAACACAAACAGAGAACAAAGGAAAACACGGTAATTACGACAAAACAACACACTTCCAAATCGTCACTCAGCATGCACACGTATCACTGTACTGCCATTCCGACGTCCAACATGCATGGCGCTGTGTACACGACTGAAAAGAGAAGCGAGGTTGAAACGCCGTCATAGGTCATCCCCTCAACTGAATTCGTCAAGCATACACCTTCAAAGACAGTCCAAAGTCAATTATCTGCCCCATGAAACTTATTTCGTCACTTGCAGATCCCAATAAAGGCGATGGCTGAAATTAAGAAGGATTCTTTTTTAATCCTCCTTGGCTGCGACCGGTATCGCAAAACATGCAATACTTACAAAAAATTAAAGTCAATGAGCAGGGTTCCCTCTTTATGCACTTTTGAACTCCTCCCGCGCCACTTGCAATGAGGAGACCACTGATATCACAGGAAAGCAAGAACACCTTTTAAATGAGAGTCTAAATACATTTTTCTCTCATTTATGCACTTTTGTACTGACCGCGCACATTCCCGAAGCAATAAAACAAAAAGTACTGCTGACGACCCAAAGAAGCATTTGTTGGCATCGCGGTTCACGTTCACTTACGAGAAAAACAGGAACCCAGCTTTACAGAAGCTCTTCAACAACGAACGACAACAAAAAGCTAAACTGTCCGAGCACAACTTGACCGCCGTGTCGCTCTCCGCAGCGTCGTTGTCCAAGCACTTGACCCCAGCGCTGGACACAGCGGCGGGGGACCCTCATATAGCTTCCTAGAGGCGTCGTTCCCAGCCGTAAAACTTTTATCAGCGACACGCGTTGGTCGCCCGCGAAAGACGATCAAAGAGGCGAAGCCGCCACTGCAGACAAGATGGCCGAGTAAATACAACGCGCCAAGGGCACACACGACGACGAGAATGCTCGCCGTTAGCGAACCGCGTGCGTAATTACATGTCGATCGGACGCGTACGTATAGAGTGAAGTGAACTTCTGTCGGTACAGATGCAGTCAGGTCGACGGCGCTGACCAGTAATTGGGAGCTTTCACATGGCGCTCGCGGGGCAGGTGGCGAGTGACCAACGCATAACTGATCGTCACATCATTCACTTTATCAGTGATCATTAACCAGCTAGCGTTGACGTTCGTCCTTGTCGGCAAGGCATACACAAGCCTGCCTATGCTCAAATGACGCGAAGGTAATCGTTTACGTTTATGTGTATATATGTGTCGAGTTGGTGGTTTCGTATGTTGTTCAGGCTTTAATCATCTAAGTATAGGCCTACACAAATGTTTCGATGCCAGTTGCAGAGACTCAGGAAGTTACACTGTCTTATAGGCAACATACCAAACGATAAGGCAGAAATTCACTCAGTAGGAGTGAATTTTTCAATATCGTATACACTAACACATGTGGACACTTTTTTTTCACTTCGTATCGTACCAGCGGAAACGACTTATCAGGGTGACCAGCTGCTGTTACATTGGTGATTGGTGTCGTGTAAGAAATTTTCGCGCACAACGCGTCGTAGAGATGTCGCCCATAAGATTTCTTGTTTTTGCTACCCCGCCAATCACGTAATACGCCTCATGATATAACCAAACCTTTTTTTTCGTACTTTCTTGTATTACTGAAAATGACATCAAAAGTGAAGAGAATTGGGAATTACCCAAATTCTGTTTCCCGTACTCATATAAGTTTAGACGAAATACTCGACAAACCTAACCGTTTTTCTGGGCTTCATCATATGACACAAATTGACGAACACAGAAAAAAAGGGGGAAGCGTACAGAAAGTTTCATTGTCATAGAAAGCCAGTTGAAAAACAAAAACAGCACAAACGCAACGGACGAATACAAAAAGACTGGGCGGAAAGTCAGCGCTCGTTTGTCTCTATGTTCGTACGTTGTTTGTTTGTATATATACGAACTGCCCAGTATGGGCGCCAGAAACTTCCATACAGTGTGACTGGTGCGGCCAGGAATGTCTGACACGCTCTTGCTGCAACTACGCAAGCGCACGTAGTGCAAACTAACAAAACAAAATGAACTACCAAGAGAGAAAGTGTGCAGTACGCCCGAAAGAACCACTTCAGCACTTTCAATGTGACAACGATGAAAGAAGACCGACGCAAAGTTGAACAACCTCCCGTTTCGCCGATTGCGAAGGTTACTTCGCGAACAGCAATGCGATTCGCGTAAGAAAAAAAAAAAAACAAAAAAACCCCCTAAGCTGAGCTATATGAGAGGCACCAAATTAGTCGGAATGGCTTCATGACAATGTTTTGTAGAATGTGTGCACGCACTTTTTACCAACGTTACTACTTACTTTGCTGACGCTGAAAACTGACAACACTAACCAGCTAACAAAATAGTTAACCAGGCTATATTTACTTCGTGCCGTGTATACAATCAAAAGCATAAAAACGAACAAAATATTGAAATGGCGTCAACGAATGACGTTCTTTACTACACTTTAAGATGGCACTCCAGCGACAGTAATAATCCACCAAGGGATTTCACAATGTTTGTTTAATTAGAGCCAATGGCAAGTCCGGATCCACAAACAACAGTCAAATGATTTATTTTTTTTAGACATTGTAACTGGAGGTGGGAAGCATTCGAAATACTAATCTCTTATATTACGGTCAGAGAAGACTTACCATTAGTGGGGGCAATGCAATCCGGTCATCTGAATTTCGTCCATAAGCGTCGGTACCAATGACATCATTGCGACGTCCCCAGTTTCGCGTATATACGAAAGTCACGAAGCGAACGTTTCTAGTATATAGCCAGTCAGGCTGACAACTCGCTGGTGAAATCACCGACAGTAGAAAGAAAGATGGCAAGTCACAAGCACGTAAAAAGAGCAATGGACGCGTATTCGTTATTCGAAGGTCACGGATTCAGTCCCTGCCGGGGGCAAGTCATCTTTTCATCCAGCTCTTCTTTCTTCCCATTTACATCAGAAATACTTCTAGTAACATTCCCTATACTTTCCTTGGCACCATTGTCAGTTAGTTATCATTAATATTGTATCTAACAAAGAAACCGAACCATTTAATTTGCACTTTTTTCCCCCCTTCAAGCACGTAAAAAGGCGAATAAAATGCACGACATCGCTATAAAAAGTGGGCATATTTCACGGCCACGCCGTGGCACGATCTTTATTCTTTGCACAATTTCTGGCTCCCAACGCATTCGCCCAGGGTAAGGGATACCTCTGATAAGTATTCAAGAATTGTATAGCGTACGCGCACAATTTACAATGCACTTCATTTCCCAGAATAGAAAAAAAAAAAAGCATGGAAAATAGGTTATTTCGCTAAAAGCTCTCTAAACAGCTCGGGCGAGGGGGAGAAACTCTCTCTATGCCAAACCTGGTTTCAACAGTGCGCAAAAGCGGCACGCAGAAACGCTGCAATCAACGCACATATCGTATAGTTATGTGCAAATTCTCTGTAAGTGAATGTCCGTCGTTTTAGCCTGAGTCTATCATCAGTATCTGTTGAATAAGGACAAACGAAAAGAAGGAACGATCGTAAAGAGGGAACCGACCACGATAGCTCGATCATCGATAGCTCGAAGAACATCTATCTATTGTTTCGCAAGCAGAACGACGATATGATTACGCGGCACGCTCCGGAAATTTCGACAATATCGACACAGCACACTTTAGCCTCCGTAGAACTTCGACCGCCGCGGCCGGAACTAAAACCACGGCTTTCGGGTCAGTGGCCCATGCCCCGTGACCCCTGTATCACCGAGGAGGACAACAGTAACGCTGCTATATAACTAAATAAATGCATTGATTGATTGATTGATATGTGGGGTTTAACGTCCCAAAGCCACTATATGATTATGAGAGACGCCGTAGTGGAGGACTCCGGAAATTTCGACCACCTGGGGTTCCTTAACGTGCACCCAAATCTGAGCACACGGGCCTACAACATTTCCGCCTCCATCGGAAATGCAGCCGGGATTCGAACCCGCGCCCTGCGGGTCAGCAGCCGAGTACCTTAGCCACTAACCGCGGCGGGGCGACTAAATAAATGCATGCTTTTATGCCCGAATTCTGAACACGCGCATACAACTGTTGCTTGAACTTCGTGCCTATGTTTATGCATATTAAAGGGACACTAAAGAAAAACATTTACTTGCTTTAGATTCATGAAGTGCACTCTGAGAACTATAATGAGACACGTTTCGCATTCGCAAGTTCGTTATTAGCGGAGAAAATGAAGATTGAAGTTTAATTTTTAAATTTCGCGACGAAATCTCCGCACTTGAGGTAAAAAAAAAATCGGAATGTTTTTTTTTCTTCTGTGTTTTCGCCGAGATTGGCTCGGCGAAATCTTCCGAAACTTCCTACGCCAGTTCCTATGGCATCCGCAGATGACTATGCACTTCGTTTTTTATCGATCAGAAGCTACGTATAGGACCCAGTAGACGCGTTGAAAATCTATGACTTCACGCTGTTTGTTGCGAGAATCTCAAGGTGGCGTCAGAAAACGCGCGAAAAGAAAATCTAACTTGCCAAGCCTCGTGTCACGGTGGTATAGTGGACTTTTCGGGATTGTGAAATTGAACTTTACTAATACGCAGAGAAAAAAAAATCGGTTTGCTCTTTATTGTCTCTTTAAGCACGAACACACCAAGGAAAGAGGCAGCTGAAAAAGGAGATGTGAGACAGGGCGCCACCGCGACGTAGCTTGTTTCACAAGCGGCGGTAGAGCGAGATGACGATCTAAATTCAGAGCCGAAGTGCTATTATACTTTGTATCCTTTCTTTCGCTTTCCGTATGCCAGTGCAAAGAGAATGCATCGATGTGCTCCGATTTCCCAAAAGCAGACATCGTTAAGCGGCGCTTAGAAGCCACGAGGAAAGGGTTTCGAAACAAAGGCGAGCGGCGAAAAAAAGAAGCAGG